CCCCAAAACCCCAAAACCCCAAAACCCCAAAACCCCGGATCGAAAATGTATCATTGAAAATAACTAAATATGCCTTGGAAAAGCTAAGGCAAGTTTTCCTCCAGACTTGGAGATGAGTGGAAGAAGGAACGACTGTTATGCCTGAGATGAGCAGCTGAATTTTCTGCATGACCATATTGATCATTATTTCTATTACGATTTCTATTTGCAATCAGCTCAACTTCATTTTCACCTAAAGATTCTTCATCAATTCGCTCATTTCTTGGGAAAGTATTTGATCTAATAGAATCACTATCTGATAAATCATCAGAAATTCCAGAAGATAAGGGGTCTCCTTCATTGTTTGGCTCATTAGCTATCTGATCGAAAATATTGTTAACTTGGTTCATGTAAGTTCTAATATCCTCAGCGTAAATTTTATCTGGGAAATCATTCCCAAAATCATGCCCTACAGTTTTAATTCTAGTCTTATATGCTTTCATTGGGTTAGTTCTACAGGTAGGACATGTCATTTTGACTCTGAGCCATTCTCTTAATCAATCAGAGTGAAAAATATGTTTGCCTCCTTTACTGTCCCTATGCTTTTTCCTGGCTAGGTCTCAATCTAATTCGATCACCCAAGCGTCGTCAGTGAAGTCGTCTTGGCATACTACTCATATTTCGTCTAAAATGAGATCAAGATTATACCTTCTTCAATAGGGACTGGTTTCTTCTTTCTCTTGCGATGCTTTTCTTCATTTTCTATTTTTGTCTGATTCAGAGAGTCTGCTTTGAACTCTTCTTCAAGATCTTCTCTCATGTCTGGATCGATGGTAGCGTGATCTAGTGGATGAATCTTCGCATTCCTCTTATCCATTTCTAGATTTATATGATAATAAGAAGATCCAAAGTTAGTTCGCTATTATTTGCTCAAAATTGTTCCTTAGAAAGTTAATAAAGAGAGAAGAGGCGTCTACTATGATCAGATATTTTGGTAAATAGACTCACCATTAGCTTTGTATAATTTATCATCGCCTGATTTTTGAGTAGGAATATTCCATTTATCACCTTTCTCATCGTTCTTCTTTGACTCTTCTGTCGAGGAAATTTTGTTCTTTAATATTCGATATTGGCTCTTTTTGTTTCGAAAAATATACAGTAGAACGTCCTGTGCATGGTTTCTGTTATTGACTAAGTTTTGGAATTCTTCTCGGTCAACATCCCCAGTATTCCTTGGTCTCCAGGACATGCAGTCTTGGCAGAAAATAATGCAAGGAAAGCAGAGAATCAGCAAAACAATCATTAGCATCATAATAACAATCATTATTATAATCCCGAGTGACATAGAGGCCACTAGATTATAGAAAGATGTGATAATAACAAAAGTCATGGCTCCCATGAACAATCTATCTTCCGAATATTCGTCTGATACTGTGTCTAGGACCCATAAGGCTACGAACATAAAATAACTCACTAAAAGGCAGATATAGCTGAACCACCACCAACACTGGTCTTGGAGGTTCTTCTTATAGAACATTCTGCAAAAGATGATCCTCCAAGCCTCTTTGGGCAGAGTTTTCCTGATCAAAATTCTGACCTGATTAGGGTGGTTAGTCAGAGGTCGGGTCATCTGCCACACATAGATTAGCATGTGGATAATTATATAGAATACATTAACCATGGTCCTAACAGAGCTGCATTCTCAGTGTATTTAAAGAAGTAATAAATAGCAATAACTGGGTTTACCAGTCATGAAGTCAACACGACCAGAGGGTTCACGTACTCTATGTAGTAGACATGAGCCCTATTCATTATAAAGTCCAGGACCATTTTCGAGGGTGATAGTTTAAATTTATAATTCTATATGAATGCAATAGATAGGGGTTTTGGGGTTTTGGGGTTTTGGGGTTTTGGGGTTTTTTGTGTTTTAA